GGTTTGTTTTGATTTTTGAAGAACTTAAAGAAAAATAAAGAAACAAAGCATACATTATATCATCATTAAAAATTTATTTGAAAGATTTTCCATTGCTTTCTTTTTAAAAATAGATTTTGGTAATATCAGCAGTACAATATGCAAAATTATTACTCAAAAGTGGTCCAAATGTTGCAAAATATCTGCTTAATATTTGAAGAAATGTAAATACAGAAATATACATATACTTTGGTGAAATAGTTCTGGTCTTCGAAAATGGTATACGATTTTTAATTTTTTAACATTCATTAAATAATAAGAACATTCCATACATAATAAAAATCAAATTCATAGTATTTGATTGAGTATACTAAGTTTAAAGATGATGAATTAAACAGGAAGTTATTTTAACAGCAGATTATACAAAACTTCAAACCTTACAAATAAAGTATTATATCCAGGGAAATTTAAACAAAATGATAAAAACCTAAACTTTAATTAGCTATGGCATTGTGGATAAAAATCTAATACGAATCTGTCTGCTCAGTTGCAGTAGCTAAATAGTTCTTTTTTATTAAAGATCTTTTGAGTAACGATTATAATTGTGTTCAGTAAGTTAGGACAGCATTTGTAGATGAGTGGCATTTACTTTTGATTACTTAAAATTTTGTGCTCCGAATGAGCTACTAAAATTAAAAGTTTATTTAAAGAATGGTGATATCAAATAAATTAACTATTACAAATAATTTTTCAACAAATTTTTGACTCCAGTCATCCTCTTTGAAGATATCTCCGTCAGAAGTAGTTGAGAAGGCATCTTACATATCCATATCGCAGGTTATATAGCAAAAAGTTTAAAAATGGTTTATTAAATGTTAATAGATAAGCAATATATTGACAATTTATGTTTGTGAATCTTTTTCAATTTTATATTTTACTTTTAATATTATTATCAATATTGATTTGTCATTCTGAACAAGTGCTCACTTTGTTTTGAATTTGTTTTGCTTAATAAAAACATTGTTCTGAGCATCTGATACTGTAAATAAATCTCTAACTAACCAGTATTATATTACAGTAATAAATTTTATATATAACTAATATATTTTTTAATATTAAAAAAATTTAATTACTGATAAAAATTCTGTGGATATTATAGTTAGTTTATAGTGTTATCTATTTTTAGAGTTAATATAAATATAAAGTTAAGTTAATATAAATATAAAATATAAATAACATATATTTTGATTAATGTGAAATAACCAAATATATAAACAATGCTGCATTTTTTTGGAAAAGTTAATTTTTATTAAATAAAAATTTCTTTCTTTTTTTATTTATTTAATTTATTGAAAAAAAATTAATTTCTGTTAGAAAATAATTTATTTCTTGCTGAACAAAAAGTACCAAGAAAAAAAAAATTCTTATTTGTTTGTTTCAATTTTATTGCGTTTTAATTCTTTTTTTGGCAAAAATGCGGAATATTAGGCCATATACTTTAAGTTGGCCGTGGTTTCATAATTGTATAGTTTTTAGTAAATGGTATTATCAAACCTCGTTTTAGCTTTTTGAATACAATCAATATTCAGAACATTTCTTAAATTCTACTATGTAGGAACTTTCGAAAATCAGTCATAAGAGAAGGAATTCAACCTAAAAATGGAACAAAACTGTTAATTGAATAAACTTAACACGCATTACTTTGTTATGTATTCTATTTATTTATTTAAAAAATAAAAGTGACAAATAACAAAATAACAGATAACAAATAAGAACCTTACTTTGTGAGGTTGTTTTTCTTTTGTGAAAGTTTTCTTTTGTGAGAGTTGAGGTTGAGGTTGTTTTCCTTTTGTTAAAGTTTCAAGATTTATTGTTGCAAGTTTGGACTAACAACTCTTTTTAAAAAAGCAAGGATAAAAATAAATAATCACAATAAGATAAACCTCTTTTTTATATACGAAAACTGATTGAATGATTATAGTGAATGATTATATGATGTCAGTTTCAGTAATGAAACTACCCAATAAAGACACCGATGTGAAAGTAAATCAAGTCATCTATCAACACAAAACAACACAATAATTACATGGCAAAATTAACAAATAACATAATATATTTTAGTAAATTCTAACTTCTTACTCAAACCTCAAAGAGACCAAGAAATTAGCTTGTTAAAAATTGTTAGAGGTATTGCGAGTATAATCCATAAATAAAGACTCAAATGAATGGCCTAATTAGCTTGTATTAAGGAATAAAATTTCTTAATACAAATTGGGCTTTATCTAATAAGATTCAAACAAATTCTTTATCTAATAAGATAAAGAGGAATTATAACTTCTTATGTGTTTAAAAAAATTTTGATTGACAAGATGATCAACATAATTTCCTGTCATTAAATCAGTCAAAAATGGTGGATATGGAAAAAGATGGGCTAATACAACTTTTCCTAAACAGCAGCACAAAAACAAATCTTATTTAAAAACTTCTTCGCACCACAACCTGACAAATATGGTTTAATTCTCAGAGGTAGTTATTCTTTATGGCAATATTATTTCTTGCTATGCAATGCATTTATACTTACTGAGTTCTCGTCTAGCCTAATATCATTTCTATGGCAATTTATCTCAGCTTGCCTAGGCTCATTTTTTTCATTTTGACGCCAGTTTGTCTCAGCTAGCTCATCTCTTTTATTTTGGCGTTGGTTCAATTTATCTCGCCTAGCCTGGTTTCTTTCATTTCGAAGAAGTCGAATAGTTTCACTTCTTAAATTATAAGACATAACTAAGCATCAAAGGAGTGTGTAAAAATGATGCTTAATATAATAAAACTTTTTTTTTAAGATTGAACTTTAAGTTTTCTTACTTTAAGTTTTCATAAAGTGTAAGCAAATAAAACAGAGTATAGTATAATTATCTACCTCTAGTCTTAGTCCTATTTAAATTACATGTTTTAAAATAATTTTGTAATGTATAAAGATAGCCTATTTCTATCAGGAACTTAAATTAAAGTTATAAATAAATTGATATAATCTTTATAACTGAGTAATGTTATATATTTAAGGTTGTTATTAATAATTATTGACAAATTATTATTAGTATTTAATCAAAAAAACAATTTAAAGTAATTTAAAATAATTAAAATTTTTTTACAGATAAGAACTCATAAATAAAGCAAATTGAAAAGTTTTAAGGTCTGTCTGCTTAGCAAACACTTCTTGCATTGAATGGTGAAATGTAATCCTATGTTAAAAAATTCTTTTCATTACTTTAAAATGCATTTAATGCAAGATTTGCAATAAGTAAGGAAATACAAAACTAATAATAGAAAACCTCTATAAACAATCATATATTTGCTTCAAGTGAAGAAACTTGGAAATATTGAAACTTCTCGAACTGTTTAAATTTTTTTTTATATATTTAATATTTTAAAGAAGAAAGGTCAATAATACAATGCAGAAAAATGTGTTTATGTATGTATGTATTATTTTTTATATGTATGTATACAATTTATTTATCAACAAAAGCACAAATTTTTAACAAAAAAGAAAAGAGTATATATCTTTTAAACAATTTTTTTTTAAATTAACAAAATACAAATTGTTAACAAAAAGTAAGAGTTACTTTTTGTTAACAATTATATATATATCTTTTCAACAAAACTTACTTAAAAAGTAACTGTATATAAATATATAATGAAGTATATATCTTTTCAAGAAAATTTTCTTAAATTTTTAAATATTAAAAAAGTTATAGATATTAAAAAGTTATATATCTTTCTAACATTTCTTATAAACACATTATTTGAACAATATTTTTTCAACAAATTTTATGAGTACACTAACTACAAACAGATTTAATCTATGTGTTTCATCATGATAGTACACCACTTTACTGGCCTGGACAACATTCTTGCTCTCAACAAAGTTAAGTCACATTATAGCAAAGTACACCACTTGGCTACCAAGGTCAATACTCTTGCTGTAAACTAAGTCAAGTCACAACAATTTGAAAGCATGCAAACAACATAATAACCACTTGCAAACTATAAACACATAACATTATAAAAATTACAAACATACTATGTTAGATACAATCACTTCTTATAAAAAAGACACACTTACAAACTATAAACCCATATAACCCTAACACATATAAACATAACTAGGGCTGAAAATTTTCCGGAAATTTTCAAAAAAAGATAAGCTTTTAAAAAAAATATATAAGTTAGAAACATTTACAAATATAACCTTACTTTTGTTATATTTGTTCAATGACATACCTCGTAACAAATGTTTATCAACTTTAAAACATCAAAACGATCTGTTTTTTAATATAATAAAAAAAAGCAAGCAAATCATTTTTACTTTTAAATAAATAATATAATAAACGATCTTGTTCTTGAACATGAAACATAGAGTTGACCATGTGAGATGCAGTGGTTTTGGAGATAAACATCAACTTTATCAAGAGTTTGACCTTTATCAAAAGTTTGACCTTTGAAAAGAGCATTGTCTTTTAGTTCTTAAAAATAAAAATTACAGATTAGTATATTTAAAATTCAATTGACGAAGTACTTGAATTGTTTTATTAAAATGCATGAATGAAATAAATTACCTGACTTTAAAAGTTAAAAATAACATAAGGTATTCATTACTATAAAAGTCATCAAATTAAAAAGTTTTTCGATCTTATTACTGATTAAGCTGATGAAGCAAAGTTTTCGATCTTATTACTGATGACAAACCAGATTATAAAGATTTAAAAATATCTCTTCGCATGGTCAAAAATATAAAGAGAAATATCTGCATCAAACGTGCACAAATGGGTAACAGCAGCAGCGTTAAGTTCAGCAATAATATATAGTGATGCATCTATTTTTATTATACATACATATATATCATTTATATCATCTATCATTATTAAAATCATAATTGTTTGTATGTTTTTTATTATATCATTATTAAAAGTTGTAATTGTAATATTAGTTCGTTTTTAAACACTTTTTATTTACATTTTTTTCAGGAGAATCATTTGATTGCACATTAACAAATTTGAATAGATTCGAGCTGTTAATTTATGAAAATGAAGTTTTAATTTCTTTTGACAAAAATTCATGTGTAAATTTTTGTACAAATTATCAGAATACAAACTCAACATATAATGGATATGTTGCAAGTGGAATAGCTGTAACAAATAATGATTGTCTGTGTCTTTATGGATTTACTGGTAAAACAACATCTGCTTATTATGGATGTTTGTATTATGACATGGCACCAACAACTGTGGTTACAAGCATTAAAGGTAGAAATGAAAAATATTTAATTATCATTTTTTATAATTAAAACATCATAATAAATTTGTGTACATTGGTAGTTAAGTCGCTTTTTTTTTTTTTCACTTACAACAAAGCTGGAAGTAGCCACTATTTAAATTGTGATTTAAAAAAAAAAAAATTTTTTAGGAGGTAAAACAAAAACATGACAATGGGGAAAAATTGAAATAAAAACATGGTGAATAAAAGTTTTATAAGCATGTTAGAAAAATGTTACAGTATAAGTATGCAACTTTGCTGTATATATAGTTGTACCAAATTATTTTTACTTATTACAATCAATAGAATTATGATTTTTATTATTAATATTATATTTATTATCATTATAATATTATTATTGTATGATTTAAAAAGAATAATAAAAAAAAAAAAGTAAAACAAGTAATATTTTAGCCTATGAATGTTTTGAGTTAACGCTAAAAATCTGGGAACAATCAGCCTATGAATGTCACTAGCTTTTTAATGTCCTATCTATGTATTGTTAGTTAAACAATACATAGATCGAACATTAAAAGTTGTTTGATCAATCAAACAACTTTTAATACATAATTTTTTTATTGTAATAAATTTGAGTTAACAAAAACTAATTGTACAATATTTGAAATAATCTATTGACAAAGGATTTAAAATTTTTGTAGATATTTTTTTAAATATATTATTGATTTTGTGAATCTGATGCTGAATTCGAAATTGAAATGTGAATGATCATTGTTGTGTAGACTAAATGTGATTGGGTGGATTATTTAAAATTCATTTGAGTAAGCTGAAGCATACAGCATGAAGATATTCATCAATGGGAAGGATACCTGTTAGGTTGCATCACTAGGATCAATATCAATATCAGCTGCTTTTAATAGGATTTTTTGAAAGACATGCATTTTAGATTTATTTTTATTGGTTGTTGAGGTAAGAACAACATTATAGGTAAAGTGACATAGGCAATAAGGACTGTAAGCTGATAAAAGAATAGATTGAGACCATCCATCAAATATTCAGAGTTGCTTAAAGAAATATGAGTTGAAGACACTTCTATTATATAGGCTAGACCACTGTTTGTCAAATTTGAAGCCTGGATTGAGGATGATGCCAGGGTATTTGTATGAGTTTAAAACTTCAAGAATTTTTCCTTTGTTGTTATGACTGGCTTTACGGCTCTGCCAATATAAATAACTTTGCATTTGACTATGTTATAAAATATTTTGTTGTCGTAGCTGCCATTGTTGAAGGGATGAGTTACTACCTATTATGTAAGCTAGGTTATCATCTGCTTATTTCTTGTGTGTTTGCTTGTTAGAACATAGAAAAAAGTGCATTTTTACTAAATTTAGTTTTTTCAATAATATTTTTAAAAAAAAGTTTTTTATTATACAATAATCATTTTTGAAATTTTCATTTTGCTTCATTTGAGACCCAATATGAAGAACACATTTTTGAAGAACTTTTTTTTGATAATATTAGGAACTCATTAAATGTTCAAGGGTTTTGGGGGACCCCTAAAAATATTTTATGCTCAAAAATTTTTTAAAAACAGTATTTTTTCATTGAAAAGAACACATTGAAGGGGTGGCAGCATTTTTTTTTTTTTATTGTTGTTTTTTGGGAAACTCTATTTCAGGCGTTTGATAACAAGTAACAGTTAAATGTGCACCTTAAAATTGATCAATTTAAACATTTAAGTTCATCAGTTAATTGTAAAAATCTAACTAAGTGTAGTTCTTTCAAGGTTTTGGAATCTGACCCAAACAAAAAACATAGCAAATAAAAAAAATTTTATTAAATAGGAAATTTCTTCTTTAAATAAACAAACATCTCATTACAATATATATTCATCACTCTAGTTTTTTTTTTTTATTATTTATTTGAACTTTTAAATCTCTTCAACATCAGAGCTTGTCATACACAACTTTTCTGACCCAAAAGACTCTTTCTAGCCTTTACTTTTTTTTCTAGTCTAGACTTCTTTGATGATGTTGCTGTTGTAAAAATCTCAACAGCAGTTGAAATTCCATAACAAAGCGAAGTACCAACAATTATTATTTGCTTGAAAATTAAGATGATTCCTTGATTATCTTGATTATAAAATAGGGTAAAGAGAAACAATCAAAATAACTTTTTTTTCACGCAATAATTTTGTTTTAACATTTCGCAATTACAAGTTAATTTACAAGTTAAATAATCACTTAGATCATTATAATATTCGAGTAATGATCCCAAAGAAATTTACAAATTACATCAATTAATATCAATTTTGTATAAATACGAGAGAAAACACCGAGTCTTTGTATAAAGTCTTTGTATAAAATTGAAACTTTTGATCACTTTAATATGGCAAAAGAACTTCTATCCTTTACCAATCTTGTTTGGCTCGACAGCAGTCCTGATTCAGTCCGACAGACTTTTTCAAAACAATATGGAAAAACGCCAGACGGCATTGCTCTCAATCATGAAACTTATTATAATGCCGTGACACCAGCAATTACTGAGCAATATGGTCACTACTGCTATAAAAGAACTTTAATCTTTAATCTTTCATCCTCTTCTCTATTTTAGTCCATACGTTTTTTTCTTGTCAGTTAAATTCTTAATTTTGAGCATCACAAGAGTGATAGTTCATTTAGATGAGAGCAAGCTACATAAAAAATTTAGGTTTTAAGTTGCTTTTTTTGATTCTGAGTGTGCTAACACCCTAGAAAAAAACCTTTTACTGCTGCTTTTAACAGTTAAAATGCCAAGGTATTGTTTTGACAGCTCTTAGGCAAAATAATGAATAATATTGTAGAACATAATGTGGAATAACCCAACAGAGTATTAGCAAATATCTGCTAATTTGTATTAAAACTAATAGCCATTTTTGTAATAAATTTACTGAACATTAAAGATCTGACATTTTCAATCAGTTTTATTTGTGGTGCAGATTCTCATTTGAAACTTGGCAGATAAATATTTTAGTGAAATTAGTGATTGGTTCGACATCTAACTAAAAATATCACATTGTTGTAAGCAAAAAGTAGAATATACCTTTAATTTCTAATTGAACACACATTCATATACATAAATGGGTATAACATTTTTAGTTGTTTATAAATGTTTTGTTTTTATTTAGATATTTATTTTTATTATTATTTATGTTTACATACTGTTAAATTTTTTTATAATTGCATTATAAATGTTCATTTTTTAAATTTTTAGAAGTTAATGAGCAACTAATACAAAGTTCAAACTTAATTACAACATTATCTTTTTTGGATAAGACATTTTCAGTTTTTTTTATGCTGAAACCGATCTCAAATAGAGGCTTGATGTGTAATATTATTCATATGACTACTTACGGCCATTATGGTTATTATGGAGCTAGAATTCCTGGTGTATGGATGGATCCAAGTTCAAGATTATACGTTTCTTTTGCAGTTAACGGAGATGGTGATTATGCTTTTTATACCCAATCACTATCACTAAATGTATGGTCAAGTCTACTTATATCACAAACTGATTTTAATGGAGTTTACACATACACAGTTTATTTAAATGACCAAATTGTCCGAAATAATACAAATTATCAGCCACAGTTTTTTAAAGATGTCAAAGTTTATGCATCAGATCCATGGTCTTGTACATTTGATGGCTATATTAAAGATCTCAAAATTGTTAATGGATATGCTGGTTAGTTTTTTTTTTAAATAGAAGTTGTTGTTTTTTGGTTTTTAATTTCAAACTTTAATAAATGTTTGTATTATGTATATTAATATAATATGTATTATTTTTGTATTAGTTACACTTTTAATAACTTTTAATAAAATTTTTAATTCAACCTTACTAGTTTGAACTTAACAGCAAGAAAAATATTATAAGGAAATTTGCTAATGTAGATTTTACTAACTTTTTGTGTAATGAAGTTCATGTAATGTAATAAAAATTATAAGAAGTAAAATAATCTTATACATTATTTTGTTTTATTAAGCTATTTGAGCTCCCCTAGCCTGACGAAGACACTAAAGTCAAAGAGGTTGCTCTTTTTTAAATTGTATTACAATTTTCTATTAACTTTATAACTTTAGCTTTATAATTTTAACTAGGAACAAAAAGGATGATGGCTGCTGTGCAGAGAAACAAGTTTGAGGCAAAGGCTTACTTAAAACTGAAAATTTAAAGATAAAAAAAATATTTTTTCAGCTTTTTTATAGCAAAGATTTTAAAACAAAATTTTAAGCACTTATCGCTTAAAAACGATCAATCTACAACTACGTTGAATTAATTCACTTTTTCATAAAGACACCATAAAATGGTGTTATATAGTCAATTAAGTATTCCAGATAAATGTTATCGATACACATTTCTCAAAAAGCAAAAACTTTTGTAGATTTTGGTTAGTTAATTTAGAAAACTTTAACTTTAATTTTACTCAAGTGAAGTTCTCTAATTAACTTAAAACATTACTAATATACCAAAAAATAATAAACTGCCACCACCAAGTTGTTTCAGTCTATCTTTAAAAATTATTTATAGTCTTTACATTAAGTAACTTTACATTAGTTGAATCTTACCTCTTGCAAAAATCACCAGACTTATTTTCTTTTTTTTTAAGACTAATTTGAATTTGTCTGTTTCATCTTGGAAGTCTTGATGAGTATTACTCTTTTATTTGCAACTTCACAATCTTTGGTGTAGACAAACTCTTACATATCAATTTACTTATTTGTAGTGAAGTTAAGTTTGAATCCTCTGACCATTCTTTTATGTGTTTCTATTTATAATATCACTTTGTAACCTTTTTCTTTGTTCTTTATCATTCTTCTTCTTCTTAAGGCTTCATTCTTTTCCATGTTAGTTCTGGTCATGTTGATTAAGTCTTCGTTTCTGGCCAATATGGATATTATTGGTTACTCAAATGTTTATCATACTACATGGTTTAACACAACTAACACTGCTGGCACTAAATCTCAAAAGCTACATCTGTATTTCTTATACTTTTACTCAGATAGTTAACTTTGTGACTCGTTTTCGAGACAACCCTAATCACTTATATATATTATATATATATATATATATATATATATATATATATATATATATATACATATATATATATATATATATACATATATATATATATATATACATATATATATATATATATATATATATATATATATATATATATATATATATATATATATATATATATATATATATATATATATCTATATATATATGTATGTATATATATATATGTATATGTATATACATAACCGCATAAATATACATATATAGTCCCAGCCCAATTTATTAGCTGCACTATAAGATTCTTTGTTAATTCTATCTTCTATCAGGTGATACTATATGGCATGATTGTTTTTACAATGAAATTTTTGATACCATGATATCTTTTTTTATTGTTATCCATATTATTACCTTTTTTAGAACAAATAAAATATTATACAGGCTTGGTCAGGAAGGCGTGCGATTTCTTGCCATAATATGACTATGCCAATAATACTATGTTTTAACAATTTGACTACGGTTTTCAACATTTTAAAAATGTGGTGAAAGAAATGTATTTTAATCACATTAAAAGTAGATAACATTAACATGTTTATCTTTATTAACGTTTTTATATTAGCAAAACACTTTTATATGAGGTAGCTTATGATTTTAATTAAGTTATCAATGAAAGTTGTGTAAATTTTTTCTTATATTTTTAATTATATAAGATTTTTTTTTTTTTTAAATTCTTCTTAATAAAAAGATTATTTAAAATAAACGCATTTTGTGTAAATTATCTTATATTTAAATTTTTTTTATATTTAAATTTTTTTTAGAAGGCATATATTTTTTATGATAAATTGAAATGTTTGAAACTATTTTTCCATTTCTTTCTAAAAATCTTTTAAAGTTTTTTTTTCTAAAAATCTTTTAAAGTTTGTTTTTTTTAAGTTATTTTAAATTATGAATAAGTTAAATTAAATTTTATTATTCGAATGGAATAATTTATTATTTTTTTTTTTCATTTTTACTTTTACCAAGAATTGTCTAAATGATTTTTTTTTAAATGATTTGATTAAAAATTACTATTTTCAAAAGTTTCCAATATTTTTTTTTAATATTTTATTTTGTAACTTTTTTAAAAAAATGTTTATATTCGGTGTAGTTAATGCGATTTACAAATTATTCAAATTCTATTATTTGAAATTAGTATGATTTTATAAGCGTATTATGTCCAAACAAAAGCTTTAGATGTTATATTTTTTTTTTTGCTTCAGGTTTTTTTAATATTTAAAGAAACTTTTCTTTTTTATATATAATTTTCAAAACCTTTTTAATTCCCCTAATAGTGAATCTAAAGAACAGTCTTTACTTTCGCTCATCGGTGCCAACCGAATTTATTAAAAGTCTTTTGAAAAAGTGTCTTAATTTACTATAGCTCCTAGTTCTAATCGGTTCTGATTGATATTAACTGTGTATAGTTGTCAAAAAACAATATTTCTATTAATTTTTGCAAAAAATACTAGATTTCTGACCAAAAAAGAGCTTATAATTAAAAAAAATTGTCTATAAACAATCAGAACAGATCATTTTATTAAACTATGATGTTCATTTTACCTAAAAAAACATATTTATAAAAAATCTTATTCAAATTTGGACAAACAATTGTGCTTTGAAAAAGATTTTTAAAAAAAAATTTTTACATTTTATGGTACCGCAAAATTTATCATTTTAATTTTTTTCATCTTTTCTTAGTTCACAGACTTGATCATTTAACGGAAATATGTCGTAGTCAACAAAATATTATACAGACGCTATAATATTTAAAAATTGGTTTAACAACACCGAGTACAATTAAAAAAAAATTATTTATTTTCTTTCAATAATTTAATTTCACTTTTCAATAATTTAAATAAAATTTGTCCATCCATTAAACAACCATTAAAAGTAATTTGCAAAAGCGTTTTGCGTAACTTTAATAAAAAGATTTTTAAGTAATTTATTTCAAATGCAATTAAAAACATGTCAAAAAGTAATTTTTGCTTTGAGTTTGAGTTTTATTTTAAAGCTTGTATATTTTTTATTTTGTTAGGAAATGTTTTCTTTTTTCTTTAGTTTTTTTAATTTTTTTCCTAGTTAAAGTTTAGCTAGGCATTTCTTTTTTCAGGGCATTTCTGAAATGTTTAAATCATCAAAACATCTAAATAGTTGTGGTCAGGTAGTCAACAAAAATAATCATTTGCATGGTCTTGCTTGACTTGCCATTAAGCCTGCTTAATGGCAATTCAAGCAAAATTTGGTTAATGGAACTAATGAATTCTAGAAATTAGAGCTCTTTTAAGCAGCAACCATGATAGTATTTGTAGAAAGGGGAAAGAGTTGCAACTTACGACAATGGGAGAGCGGATCAAGCTTGGCAGATAGAGCAGATCCAACTACATTTAAAATGCATTTTTGAACCTTGTATAGAAGAAAAAGAGCATCATTAGAAGAACTAGCCCAAATATGACAACAGTATTCCATACAGGGGCGGATAAAAGACTTTTAGAGGTAGATAATGGATTCAAAAGTAAAAAAATGGATTGCACAGCTTATGATGACTCATGATGGGATTTTAGAAATTTGTTTATTTAAGACTCAAATTAGATCAAGCATCAAATGGAGAGGTCAGAATGTTCTCCAGAGTTTTGAAAATAGGAAACATGGATGCCATCATCTTATTATTCATCACAAAGTTCAGTGAAGCACTTATTAAATAGTTTAGAGAGAATTGAAGAGAGTTCTGTAGAAAAATTTTGTAATTCTATGACAGGAATGTTGTATGGACCACATGCTATTGAAGTATTTAACTGATATGACTTTAGCAACAAAAGCTGGATTTATTTAAACATTTAACAATGGGTTAACCTGTTTAATTGGAAATGGAAGAAAGAGGTTTAAGAATGGAATTAGAAGAATTAAATATTCTGCTATCCTTGGAGGAAGTAATAAGATCAGTCCCATGAATGAAAATTGAAATGTTAGACCTACCTTTGTTAATGACCCTGTTGAAGATTTTCCAATCGTTTCTAGAGCTTAACTTATGAGGTAAGATACAAGATTTTGTGAACTGGAAATAATGGAGCTAGGCATCAGACAGCACCTTTTTACATTAATTTCTTGCAATAATTAATAGGCATTTGTTCTCAAAAGAGTTATTTTTATTTAAAAGAATAAAAAAATGATTACGATTAGATATAACAGATGTTCATGATGACAAAAACTATTGATTAGAATGAGATTCAAAACTAACAAGGAGGTATAAAAGTTTCCTTTCAAGCCTGGATCCAGGAGGTTATGTAAGAGGTGCATTTTTCTGGGAAGAGAGAAAAGACATTACCTTAAGACCATCACAAAGAAAATCACAAAAAGAATCCTAGTTAACTTTAGGGTAGTATTAAGTTGTGTGATAATAAGTTGAGTCTAAAGAAGTACAAGATAAAAGATTTATTGTGATCATTGCATAGTTAGAGCCACTTAAAGCGGAAAAATTAGAAACTGAACATAAGCAAGGGTCAGAGACATTAATTCAAGACTGTATCATGTCTTTTATTTAAAGATGATTCCACACATGAATAACCTTTTCTTAAATTTGCGTTAGGTTTGTGATTAGATCTTTATCCACTTCTCTTTTCCTCTTA